AGGCTGTTTTTAGCCATTTTATATGTCAAAATTTCCGAAAATTCGTCATTTTCCACGAAGGGGGTGGGGGGGGGGGGCGAGATTTCCGCCACTGAATCTAGCCAATCCAGGACTGCCTTGACAGGGGGCATTTGCCCCGTGCCCCTGCTAAAGGGAGCCATACAGGGATAAATTAAAATATGCGTAGAAACCACCGTTAGACTACCTCCCCCGTAGGTCTTTCTGAAATTTTCAAAAATGGGGGAGATGCACAAATTTCAATTTTCAACTTGCGAACGGGCATACTCTGCCTCACATAATTAACGGTCATTACGGCCTGCGAAGTAATTGGACAGTTATAGGACGTCGGCTGCATCCCGATATCGTTCACTTCCATTTAGCATGACTTGCATCTGAAATATTTTACGGGAACTAACACTTTCAAGCACACTGAGTTCAAATCCGAAACGTTCCCGCTCCGTAGACCCGCAGTTTTCTCACAAACTACTATTTTATCTTCATTAATTTCAAGACAAAATTTTTTTTTCATTGTTCAACGACACGGATCGATGACGACACACGATTACGTCACTCAAAAGGACAAATTCTATTAACCTGTCTTCCTTTGAACAAAAGACCGTTTGGCTCGAATCATTTTGAGTTATGTAATCTTATGCGTGTTAGACGTAAACAACATATCTTGTCTACAACTTTGAGAAGGTACAGATAACGCTTTCTAAAATTCTTAGGGCTCGCTTCTGGACCCGCTCGACGTCATCAGAAAGGTATTGGGAAGCATCATAGTTCCATAATTGGTAACAGTATTCGAGGACTGATCTTATGCAGGTAGTATAAACAGTTAAAAGGGATGTATGATCAAGTCCAGCCCGTTTTAATAGGCGTAAAAAATAAAGGGACTTATAGAAGCCTTGGATACAACATAGGTTATGTGTGTGTTCCATTTCAACTCTGCAGACATATATAAGTGCCCAGGATTTTTGCCGAAGATACCGGGACTAGTTCGTGATTGTTTACCAAGATCGGGTCTAGTTTTGGACGATTTTTCGCAAACGAGATAAATCATATCTTTGCACTTAGATTGAAAATTTTCATGTCATTCTTTATACACCAGCTGTTTATCGCATTTACAAGGGATTGCATCTCCCCTTGCTCACCTTTATTAATAACCTCAGAGACACTTGTATCATTCACAAATTTCCATCTTCGATCATGATCAGTAACCAGGTCATTTATCATGATTAGGACGAGTATGGGACCGAGCACTGTTTCTTGGGGGTACCCCATCGTTTACTGAAGACCAATCTGAAAAGACGCTACCCATTTTAACCCGGTGTCTCCTTCCGGACAAGAAGGGATTATCCAATTGATAACGGATGGGTTTATGTCCAATTTGCGCATCTTTGTGATTAATATCTCATAGTTAATCCGATCGAAAGCCTTAATTAAGAAAGAAAGAATAAACGCACAGTTTTACCATTTCCATCGGAGTCAGCAAATAGGGAGTGGAGAAAGCTAATTAAGGCATCAACTAGGGAAGAACCGGAAATTGCTCCAAACTGTTTTGGATCGAGTTTCTGGCAGATGCTATCACGGATCCATTCTGCATTAAATGGCCCTAAGACTTTAGATAATGTAGTAGTAAGAGATATTGGTCTGAGGTCATTGTTAATATTCTGTATTGGGTGGGTCTTAGGTATTGGGATAACGTCAGCCACTTTCCATTGTGTAGGTACTTGATGTTTAACGTCCAATCCTTGTTCAGCATGAGTATTTTCCAAGTTCTCCATGTGAAGTCTAAGGCCATCCCAATCAGCTCGTTTGAATAGATAAATCTTCCGTGGCTTCTGGTTATTAACGATTGGAGAAATATTTCCTTTCACAAGGACGGCGTCGTGATCGGCTATGCCAGGTAGAATTTTGACGTTTTTGATCAGAGATGGATTGTTGCAAAGGAACAAATCCAGTGTGTTGTTCTGCCCACGGCAGTGTTGTTCTACCCACGGCAGGTTTTGTAACGAGCTGGGTGAGGCATGTTATCATCAATTATGTCTCGGAACTATTCATGCATTGTTGCAAAGTTACAATTTTATTTTATCGTACCAGTTGACCAATCAAAATCAGGTAAGTTAAAGTCACCTGCTAGCCAGAGGTGACAATTTTTATGACTTATCCTGTTTAGGGATTCATTTAGACATTCCAGGCTAAGTTTCTCGCTCGCATTTGGCTGATAGTATGAGCAAATATAAAGGTCTTTGCAGCCTATAACGCAAAGTTTAACCCATATCATTTCGCAGTCAGTTTCCAGATCATATTGACGCTGTGACCAGATACAGTTCGAGATTGCTATAAAAACTCCACCTCCCTTCGACGTTTTCCTATCACAGCGGTAAATAGTCCAATAGACCTTATGCATAATGACGTCACAAGGCTTGATGCCCGCGAGGAATGCTGGTCTTAGTAGTCATCGCCCGGGAAAATTAAACAATTCAAAATGGCCACTATCGAAATTTTCCCGGGCGATGACTACTAAGACCAGCATTCCTCGCGCGCATCAAGCCTTGTGACGTCATTATGCATAAGGTCTATTGGGAGGAAAAATTTCATTATCTTTAATGTCTGGTCGTAACCAGGATTCGGTTCCAACAACAATATCTGGTTTGATATTGTCACGGAGCATAACATGGAGTTGGTCCTTTTTGTTTGCCACAGATTGGCAATTCAGTATATTCAATAGAGATAGTTTCCTTTTAATTGACATCTTAGGTTTTAATGTGTCGTCTATGTCGACACTGTGTTGACGGTTTGTTATTTGAGATGGTGTTGATGAATATTGTGGACTGTGGTTGATTTAGGATTGATTCACTGTGACTTCCATAGGATACTTGATGAAAGTCACTAGTGTTTTCATTAAATATCTTAATTACGCATGCAAAATTACTTGAATATAATTCCTAATTACGTTATGCTTGGTTAAGAATTCTATTCAAATCAGCAAATGAAAACATTACGTCTCGATTCATTTGAGAAGCCATATAAACAACTCGAGCTCGTATCTCACCGGGATATCCAAACACTCGGAAACAATGTATGAAAACACTCGCGCTTCGCGCTCGTGTTTTCATACATTGTTTTCTCGTGTTTGGATATCCCGGTGAAACATTCGCTCTCGTTGTTCATTTAACAAATATAAAACATTTTCCGTGTTGATATACAGTTATATCAACACGAGTGGAAATTGGGAAAACGAGAAATTGTGTGGAAACACGACGCCCGAAGGGCGGAGTGTTTTCACACAATTTCGAGTTTTCCCAACTTCCACGAGTGTTGATATAACTATATATCAATACGGAAAAAATGTTTTATATTTGTTTTATAATATAGCAATGTCAAAAGCCCGAAGAATAAGAACAATTTCCGTGTTACAAGCGGCGGAAAATTTCCCGTGTTGACATGGAGTTATATCAACACGGCTCTTAGCCAATCAGCGTTGAGAATTTACAAATGCTATATTATAAATATTACTTCGTAAACATGGGTACTCATTTGCATACATTTGGCGTGATGCCATCTAACTGTGATGCCATATTACATATATCACAAAAATCACATTGTGACCGCTCGTTGATTTGATCTAACAGCTTTTGAGCAAATCCACAAGGATGTTGACATTTTGGTCCTGCTTTAAGGAGAGTAATCCAAGAGAAACAGAGTCAAGTTTACCTGTTTCCTTTTTCAATATGGCGGATCGACTACTATTTATTTCGTGATAATAACTTGCATGAGTCAAGTTTGTTGAGTAAGTGAGGCGGAAATTTCATAGCCACGATGAAGTAAACGTTCTTTTGCTGGTAATTTGGCATTTGAATACGTCAAAAATTAGGTATACAGGGTGTATCAAAATAAACGCAATTCATCTTTTGTGCTTAATAACTTTCGAAATACTATTTCTAGTTAAACGCTTTTAGGCTTACTTCAAAGCCTGTTCTTTTCTCTTTCAAACAAACTATTATCCTTGTCTCCAATGCTAGTAATAATTGCACAGGAAAAGATTTAGTAAAACCTATCATTTTTAGTTGCTGTTAGTTAATTATGCAAGTTTACTATGTTATTGTTTAGTCAGTTTAAATGTTAGAATTTTCTTCTTTAAACTTTAATGTTGTCGTCACTACACCTGGAAAACCACGTAAGAACAAATTAAAAGTATTTTAAAAGAGACCAGGTTGTTTGAAAATCCTAAACGAATGCTAAAAACCGTCAAAACATTCTGGTGTCTGAGCCAGAGTGTCATCAAATTGCGATGTAATGTAAACAGAAATTATAGCAAGTTGATGTCAGTCAGCTTAGATGGTCGCATTTGAAGTTTCAAACTGAGTTAAAAATAGTGAAAGAAAAGCCGTAATTATACTTATTGTTACAATCCATTTAATAGAATGCAACATTTGTTTGTTTTAATGAAAAAATCAGTTATTTTCATGAGAACGATTTATTATTCCATCTCAATTTTTTTAATCTCCAATCGCAATAACGTAAAGTATTATTACCCGCGAACCAATGAGTCAAATTTAAGAAACAACCCACTGTTAGAAAGCTGAATGGCTACGCTTTAAAATGAATGTAAACTTTAACGTTTTCGTCTATTATTTGTTTAGCAATTTACATTTCAGTCGAGGATTGCGCTTTTTTTGATACACCCTGTATAGAGCAAAAACAAGAATCATAGCGGGAACTCTAAATTTCGCCGCCATCTTGTATGTGTGCTTCCACATGTATAGGAGCAACTGTCATGCCCAGATATAATATGCCTTATATGAAATAGTAAGAAATTGTCTGAGTTTTCATATTTTGATTAAATTTTGCAAATGGTTTTAATTACTAGTTTTTTTGTTAAATAACTTACCCTGTCGTTGGGATTCAAAGAATTTAGCACAGATTCCGCTGCACTGACAGCAATTTGGATTAATGTTTTATTGCCAATAATATCTGCCATGGAGCCACTTTTATCAATAATCAACACAATATCCTTGGGTTCGGGTGCGATTCCTTCAACATACCACGGGCGAACACGATTATCATAGCTGTCACATGATGTGTACTTGTGTGCTGGATAAATTGAAAGTATTCCTTCTTGTGATCCAAAATACTGCCATCTCAGATCAGGGTTTTTATTCAAATTGTTTATCACAGTTTCCTCCAAACTCTTTGAAAGATGTTTGGCACCCTTCGAAACATATTTTGCCTTGATTTCACAAAACATATTGCTGAGAACTTTCGTCTTAAACCTGTAATCAGTTTCAGTTGGGTTAATTTCGCAACATTCAGGAGAAATTGATGACGATGATACTTGCTGGCTACTGTACCCTTTTTCAACGGTGGTTTTAATTTGCTCAAGAGCAACAATGTTGTTGTGAAATCTTTGTTTCAAGACGTTGGCGAGTAGATCAATTTCTCTTTTTCCATCCACTTTTTCATGAACAAACTTAGAGTCATCAAAGAAGATCTAAAAATATCGGAATGAAACCTACGTTACATTTAAGGAATAGAAAACTGTAAAAGGCCCGTTTCCACTTGCAATTTTTGCTGCGATTTCAGGTGCGATTTTTTCTACTGACGTGATGGCGACATGAAATCGCCAATGTAAATACTCTGCGATTTAACTGCAATTTCAGTGCAACTTCATTGCGACAAGCTGCGACTATTTCGATCGTGATCGAAATTCGCTGCTTTTTCAAAACGATGTGAACAAAAGACGACTCACTGTGCTATCCTTCAACGGCAGGCGTTGGCACCTTCAATAAGATTTTTAGGCATTTATCAAAGTCAAGCAACATAATTCATAAACTTATAAATATCTAAACATTCTTCACTTTCACGCTGTTTCTATAGATGATCTATTTAACGAATATAAAACATTTTCCGTGTTGATATACAGTTATATCAACACGAGTGGAATTGGGAAAACGAGAAATTGTATGGAAACACGACGCCCGAAGGGCGGAGTGCTTTCATACAATTTCGAGTTTTCCCAACTTCCACGAGTGTTGATATAACTATATATCAATACGGAAAAAATGTTTTATATTTATTTTATAATATAGCAATGTCAAAAGCCCGAAGAATAAGAAAAATTACCGTGTTTACAAGCGGCGGAAAATTTCCCGTGTTGATATTGAGTTATATCAACACGGCTCTTAGCCAATCAACGTTCAGACTTTACAAATGCTAGCCTATATTATAAATATATATATATAAACTACGTACAAACTTGTTTCGTATGACAAGCAATGCTTGCCACACTCATCAGGTGAATTTAAATGAGTGTGGCAAGCATTGCTTGTCATACGAAACAAGTTTGTAGTGAATAAATCCTATGAAGTAAACCAGGTTTATTTTATCTTTATCTTTATCTTTATCTTTATTAGCTCTATACTTCGGTATATATCGAGCATGCACTCTACTCATATATAACCTGAGTATCAGGCTCTATTTTACAAATAGAGCCTGACACAAAACTTAACCTGATCGCTTTCCGCCCACAGCAAAGTTTATATTTAGTATCCAATCAAAATGTCGCAGGAGAAATTTAAATTTCACACAACGACAA